TATATGGCAGCCGAATTAAAAGCAAAGGTCAACAAACTGATCGAAACTGTGAACGCCAAGAAATCCGGACTCCACCTGCCAAAGATCATTGGGGAATATAAACCTGGATATGCGTATGGAAATGTCAAGACGCACAAGCCTGGAAACCCACTTCGGCCAATCATTAGCCAGATACCCACACCCACGTACAGACTGGCAAAGCGACTCAACGGCCTGCTGACTCCTTATGTTCCTTGCGCCTTCAGCCTGAAGTCTCCAAAGGAATTTGTGGACTTACTGCGGGGCACACGGGCCACAGGGATAAGAGCCTCGTTGGACGTAGAATCGCTGTTTACCAACGTACCTGTGGACGAGACAATCGGAATGATAGCCGACAGAGTGTATCGTGATCCAGCCTGTACTCCTCTTGACATGCCAGAAAGTATTCTGAGGAAACTACTCCAAGCTTGTACTAAAGAGGCACCCTTCTTGAGCCCGGATGGGCACATGTATAAGCAAGTAGATGGGGTCGCCATGGGTTCTCCCCTAGGTGTCCTGTTTGCAAACTTCTACATGGGTACCATCGAGCAAAAAGTCTTAGTCGACATGAACTTGAAACCGGCCATATACTGCAGGTATGTTGACGACATTTTTACACAGGTACCTGATGTCAGACATCTGCAGAAGCTGAAGGAGGCATTTGAGCAGAGTTCCGTGCTGCGTTTCACTTACGAGACGGAAAAGGATGGGAAGCTGCCTTTTCTAGATGTAACAGTCATGGAAAAGGGCGGAGGTTTCCACACTGCAGTCTACACTAAGGAAACAAACATAGGAATGTGCCTAAATGCCAACAGCGACTGCCCTGACAGGTACAAGAGGAGTGTTGTTAACGCATACGTCGACCGTGCTCTCAGCCACAGCTCAGAATGGAAGCAAGTCGACGAAGAACTCTGTAGGGTAAGGCAGGTCCTAGTCAATAACGGCTTCTCCAATGGTTTCATCGAAGACATCATAAGAAGGAAAGTGAAAAGCCATGCAACCTCTGAAGAGACAACTAACACAACACCTATACCCCCTATTAGACTATTTTACAGGAACTTCTTTTCCACAGCTCATAAAACGGAGGAAAGGGTCCTGAAAGATATTGTTAATAGAAACGTTATCCCTACAGACAAAAATCAGAGGATACAACTGACGATTTACTATAAAACCAGAAAAAAAACGGCCAGCCTACTCATGAGAAACTCTCCAGACACAAAACAGAACGCTTTAAAAGAGACTAATGTCGTCTATGCCTTCAAATGCCCACTTGGGGACTGTAAGCTCCAAAAAACCCAGTATATAGGCAAGACAACAACATCTCTTTCTAGGCGTTTAACGATGCATAAGCAACAGGGCTCCATTAAGGAACATATAATCTCTTCCCATAACCAAACCATCGCCAGAGAAATCCTAGTAAACAACACAGAAATCATCGATAGATACAGCGATAGCAGGCGGCTTGACGTTTGCGAGGCACTACACATCAAGAAGTCAACACCAGCAATCAACAGCCAATTATTGCACAACTATATTCTACCCACCTCAAGACTCCGCTCCAATATAGAAGCATCAAGAAATATGGACCAATAGGCTTTCTACAAACACTTCTATTCAATACCCATTGTTTCTGTTCTGTCTTGTGTTGATACTTTTAATACCCTATTAATATCCCCTCCTGTTCTGTCTTGTGTTAATGCCACATCACCCTTACCACCTCACTCAAATGTAGATATAAAATCAGAGATACGTTCTAATCAGTTGTGTATTTGTGAAGTCTTTGAAAATGTAATAAGTTTTACGAAACGCGCCCGTGTCGCGTCAGACTAGAAATAAAAATGAATTTTGGAGAAGTGATTTTTGATTTACCTCCAACAGTGAAGCGTAATGTACGAAAGATTGAGAAAATTCGTGTTAGAATTATTAATCTTACTTTTTCGGTCATATTTAATAATATATCTACAGGAAATATGCTACCAAAATATACTAATATATATATATATATATATATATATATATATATATATATATATATATATATATATATATATATATATAATAATAATATCTTTCTATTTTCTTCCTTCCACCGTTCGGTCATGGGCCTGGTTCTAAACAAGGTGTCGGGCAGAGGACAAATACCTTGCTTATCTTCCCCTGGTTTCCTTAAAGGGGTGAGTGATGGTCTCCTTCAAGTTCTGGCGGATGAAAGACGGGATGAAATCTCGGAAGTAAGATTGCGGCTACTGGAACTGTAGCAGGAGCAGTAACGGTAGCGGGCAGGAGCAGGGAACGGTAGCAGCAGGAGCAGGGAACGGTAGCAGCAGCAGCAGGGAACGGTAGCAGCAGCAGGGAACGGTAGCAGTAGCATCAAGAACGGTACCAACAGCAATATCAACGATGGTGTCGGCCCGGAACTTCAAGCTGAACTGACGGGAACAGCAAGCAGAAGAGGGAAGATAAATACATGAGCAAACACAGGCTTTTGTGTGTGTGTGTGTGTGTGTGTGTGTGTGTGTGTGTGTGTGTGTGTGTGTGTGTAAGAGAGAGAGAGAGAGTAAACACGAGCATATGTATTTACATTTGTGCATGTGGGAAGAAAAACACACAAGCCTAAACTCATACAACAACTTTGTACACCAGTTAATTGAAGGCTATGAGGCAGCATCCAAGAGCCGAAGCTCAACCCTTGCACGCACAGCTAGTTGACTATATGATTGTCGAATACAAAATCAAGGCTGGTAAAGTAAATGAGCCAGATATTAAAGCCTCGACAAGGACCAGGTTGAGCTAAAATGGGATGATCCTGGCCTCTGTGTACTAGGGTTAGAGAGATCAGAAGTGAGGGATATAGGAATACTCTATTGTCTTAAAGTTGATCACCAGTAAATGAGAAATACTGTAGTGGGAGATTTGAACTTTAGAGTGGGACGAAAACGAAGGAAAAATACAATATCTTGTGAGATGATGGGACATCAAGGATTCTACTCTCTCTCTCTCTCTCTCTCTCTCTCTCTCTCTCTCTCTCTCTCTCTCTCTCGTCTCTCTCTCTCTCTTCCTCTCTATCTCTATCTCTCTCTCTCTCATCTCTTCTCTCTCTCTCTGTTCTATCTCTCTCTCTCTATAGCTCTCGCTCTCTCTCTCTCTCTCTCTCTCTCTGTATCTCTCTCTCTCTCTCTCTTTCTCTCTTCTCTCTCGTCTCTCGCTCTGTCTCTCTCTCTCTCTCTCTCTCCTCTCTCGCTCTCTCTCTGTCTCTCTTCTCTCTCTCTCTCTCTCTCTCTCTCTCTCTCTCTCTCTCTCTCTCTCTCTCTCTCTCTCTCTCTCTCTCTCTCTCTCTGTCTCTCTCTCTCTCTCTCTCTCTCTCTCTCTCTCTCTCTCTCTCTCTCTCTCTCTCTCTCTCTCTCTCTCTCTCTCTCTCTCTCTCTCTCTCCTAAAACATAAGAAATGTGACGACTTTGTGCACAAACATAATATTGATGTTTTCCAAGCATCGGCCTCAATAAGCTAGAGGGATGGCGTACGGTCTAGTTAGGTAAACAGTTGCATTTTTTTTACGAAGTGGCCATCTAGAGGAGGACCAAGTTGCAAACCATTAAGTGGTAGTGTCAAGCGGATGACTGCAAAACACTTAAAACAACTTAAAAAGTAAGCGTGAAGGTTTGAAGATGTGTGAGGCTTTAAGGTAGTGTTAAGAGAGCCGTGGAGCAGTATACACAAAATGGGAATTAATTACACCGGTGTTCTCACTTGCCTACAATTTTAATTATGCAAATTTCTCACTGATACGCAACTGAAATTCCGCAAGGAATCTAATTAGGATTTGGCCGTACCGCTGATGGTCGTTGTTGCAAGCTGTATTAAATTGAATTGACTTCAAGAGATCTGCTTATAGAAATGTTTCCTCTGTCCAACTCCCGCCTACAGACACACAAGGTCCTCACGGCCGAGCGGACATTGTTCTAGGTTCACAGCCAACGGACGCGGGCTCGATTTTTACTCGATTCCCCTATTCGCCTAGCAGTAAATAGGTGTTTGGGAGTTAACTGTTGTGGACTGCGTCCTGTAGATGTATGAGTGAGAAAAATATATGTAAACGATACGATAGAGAAAATAGGTCGGCGAGGAAATACATTAGACAATCGGCGGCTAGAAAGGCGGGGTCCAAGAGCTAAACAGAATCGAACCTGCAAGCACAAATAGTAAACACACATTGTAACCCCCATCCCCCAACACACACACACACACACACACACACACACACACACACACACACACACGCACACACACACGCACGCACGCGCACAAGCACACGCAACGCACGCACACGTTCATTTTCTCTCCACCTTTCATCACCAGTTCCTTCTCTCAGTCTCTTCATCACCTCCTACTCCCTCTCTTCCCTATTTGCACAAAACATCCATTCCTACAACAGATGCCAGGGCCACTCTTGCATCTTCCACTGTACCTAATCTCATCTCCCTCTCCCTCCATCCCTCTACTTCTCTCATAAACCCCCCCCCCATCATCCCTCTGCTCCCTCTCATCCTCCCCTCCATCCTTATATCCCCTCTCAACCCCTCCCTCCATCCCTCTACCTTTCTCATCCTCCCTCCATCTCTCTCCTTTGCCATGCATGCTTCTAGTTTTCTCTACCTCACTAATCCCTCACTCTACCTCACTAATCCCTCACTCTACCTCACCAATCCCTCACTCTACCTCACTAATCCCTCTCTACCTCACTAATCCCTCACTCTACCTCACTAATCCCTCACTCTACCTCACTAATCCCTCACTCTACCTCACCAATCCCTCACTCTACCTCACCAATCCCTCACTCTACCTCACCAATCCCTCACTCTACCTCACTAATCCCTCACTCTACCTCACTAATCCCTCACTCTACCTCATTTTCAAGCCCACTCCCTCTTACAGCGAAAACCAAATGTGGGAAAGGTAATGGGGGGGGGGGTAGATCGGGCAGGATGGAGATTTTAATGGCGATGAAGGTAATATTTTTGATAGATTCAGGGAGCTGGAACAAGGAGCGTGATCCAGGGAGCTGGAACAAGGAGCGTGATCCAGGGAGCTGGAACAAGGAGCGTGATCCAGGGAGCTGGAACAAGGAGCGTGATCCAGGGAGCTGGAACAAGGAGCGTGATCCAGGGAGCTGGAACAAGGAGCGTGATCCAGGGAGCTGGAACAAGGAGCGTGATCCAGGGAGCTGGAACAAGGAGCGTGATCCAGGGGAGCTGGAACAAGGAGCGTGATCCAGGGAGCTGGAATAAGGAGCGTGATCCAGGGAGCTGGAACAAGGAGAGTGGTCCGAGGAGCTGGAACAAGGAGCGTGGTCCAGGGAGCTGGAACAAGGAGCGTGTTCCAGGGAGCTGGAACAAGGAGCGTGATCCAAGGGAGCTGGAACAAGGAGTGTGATCCAGGGAGCTGGAACAAGGAGCGTGATCCAGGGGAGCTGGAACAAGGAGCGTGATCCAGGGGAGCTGGAACAAGGAGCGTGATCCAGGGGAGCTGGAACAAGGAGCGTGATCCAGGGGAGCTGGAACAAGGAGCGTGGTCCAGGGAGCTGGAACAAGGAGCGTGGTCCGAGGAGCTGGAACAAGGAGCGTGGTCCAGGGAGCTGGAATAAGGAGCGTGATCCAGGGAGCTGGAACAAGGAGCGTGATCCAGGGAGCTGGAACAAGGAGCGTGATCCAGGGAGCTGGAACAAGGAGCGTGATCCAGGAGAGCTGGAACAAGGAGCGTGATCCAGGGAGCTGGAACAAGGAGCGTGATCCAGGGGAGCTGGAACAAGGAGCGTGATCCAGGGGAGCTGGAACAAGGAGCGTGGTCCGAGGAGCTGGAACAAGGAGCGTGATCCAGGGGAGCTGGAGCAGGGAGCAAGGGAGCGTGGTCCGAGGAGCTGGAACAAGGAGCGTGGTCCAGGGAGCTGGAACAAGGAGCGTGTTCCAGGGAGCTGGAACAAGGAGCGTGATCCAGGGAGCTGGAACAAGGAGCGTGGTCCGGGGGAGCTGGAACAAGGAGCGTGATCCAGGGAGCTGGAACAAGGAGCGTGGTCCGAGGAGCTGGAACAAGGAGCGTGGTCCGAGGAGCTGGAACAAGGAGCGTGGTCCGAGGAGCTGGAACAAGGAGCGTGGTCCAGGGAGCTGGAACAAGGAGCGTGGTCCAGGGAGCTGGAACAAGGAGCGTGGTCCGAGGAGCTGGAACAAGGAGCGTGGTCCAGGGGAGCTGGAACAAGGAGCGTGGTCCAGGGGAGCTGGAACAAGGAGCGTGGTCCAGGGGAGCTGGAACAAGGAGCGTGGTCCAGGGAGCTGGAACAAGGAGCGTGGTCCGAGGAGCTGGAACAAGGAGCGTGGTCCAGGGGAGCTGGAACAAGGAGCGTGGTCCAGGGGAGCTGGAACAAGGAGCGTGGTCCAGGGGAGCTGGAACAAGGAGCGTGGTCCAGGGGAGCTGGAACAAGGAGCGTGGTCCAGGGGAGCTGGAAACAAGGAGCGTGGTCCAGGGGAGCTGGAACAAGGAGCGTGATCCAGGGGAGCTGGAACAAGGAGCGTGGTCCGAGGAGCTGGAACAAGGAGCGTGATCCAGGGGAGCTGGAGCAAGGAGCGTGGTCCGAGGAGCTGGAACAAGGAGCGTGGTCCAGGGAGCTGGAACAAGGAGCGTGTTCCAGGGAGCTGGAACAAGGAGCGTGATCCAGGGAGCTGGAACAAGGAGCGTGGTCCGGGGGAGCTGGAACAAGGAGCGTGGTCCGAGGAGCTGGAACAAGGAGCGTGGTCCGAGGAGCTGGAACAAGGAGCGTGGTCCAGGGAGCTGGAACAAGGAGCGTGGTCCAGGGAGCTGGAACAAGGAGCGTGGTCCGAGGAGCTGGAACAAGGAGCGTGGTCCAGGGGAGCTGGAACAAGGAGCGTGGTCCAGGGGAGCTGGAACAAGGAGCGTGGTCCAGGGGAGCTGGAACAAGGAGCGTGGTCCAGGAGGGGAGCTGGAACAAGGAGCGTGGTCCGAGGAGCTGGAACAAGGAGCGGAGTGGTCCAGGGGAGCTGGAACAAGGAGCGTGGTCCAGGGGAGCTGGAACAAGGAGCGTGGTCCAGGGGAGCTGGAACAAGGAGCGTGGTCCAGGGGAGCTGGAACAAGGAGCGTGGTCCAGGGGAGCTGGAACAAGGAGCGTGGTCCAGGGGAGCTGGAACAAGGAGCGTGGTCCAGGGGAGCTGGAACAAGGAGCGTGATCCAGGGAGCTGGAACAAGGAGCGTGATCCAGGGAGCTGGAACAAGGAGCGTGATCCAGGGCGCTGGAACAAGGAGCGTGATCCAGGGAGCTGGAACAAGGAGCGTGATCCAGGGAGCTGGAACAAGGAGCGTGATCCAGGGAGCTGGAACAAGGAGCGTGATCCAGGGAGCTGGAACAAGGAGCGTGATCCAGGGAGCTGGAACAAGGAGCGTGATCCAGGGAGCTGGAACAAGGAGCGTGATCCAGGGAGCTGGAACAAGGAGCGTGGTCCGAGGAGGTGGAACAAGGAGCGTGGTCCAGGGAGCTGGAACAAGGAGCGTGGTCCGAGGAGCTGGAACAAGGAGCGTGGTCCAGGGAGCTGGAACAAGGAGCGTGATCCAGGGAGCTGGAACAAGGAGCGTGATCCAGGGAGCTGGAACAAGGAGCGTGTTCCAGGGAGCTGGAACAAGGAGCGTGATCGAGGAGCCCAACTCCACTGTCTCAGTGCCGCTCAGCTGATCAGGGAAAATTCCCCACAGACACAGCCTGAGGGAAGATCCGTGTATCGGCCTGATGAGGAGGGGGGGAGGAATAGTAGGGAGAGAGAGGTGTGGGGAAGGAGGAAGGGGGGGGAGTGGGTGAGAGAGGGAGGATGGGATAGGGGGAAGGAGGAAGGGTAGGGAGAGAGAGGTGTGGGGGAAGAAGAGGAGGAAGAGAGAGGTGGGTGGGGAAACGGGGAAGGGTAGGGAGAGAGAGGTGTGGGGAAGGAGGAAGGGTAGGGAGAGAGAGGTGTGGGGAAGGAGGAAACGTAGGGAGAGAGGGGAGTGGGGAAGGAGGAAGGGTAGGGAGAGGGATGGTGGGAGAGGGAAAATAGGAAGAGGAAGAATAGACTGAGGAAGATGCAGTATGGAGTGAAGGAAAAAGTAGTGGTAGTAGAAAAGATTGACTATCCAATCCCTTAACCCGGAAGATTGTCCTTTATTTCTCCTCTCTCTCTCTCTCTCTCTCTCTCTCTCTCTCTCTCTCTCTCTCTCTCTCTCTCTCTCTCTCTCTCTCTCTCTCTCTCTCTCTTCTCCCTTCTCTCTCTCTCCCCTCTCTCCCTTCCCTCTCTCTCCTCTCTCTCTCTATCTTCTCCTTGTCTCTCCTCTCTCTCCTCTCTCTTTCATCCCCCCCTCTCTCTCTCCCCCCCTCTCTCTCTCCCCCCTCTCTCTCTCCCCTCTCTCTTTCTCTCTCCCCTCTCTTTCTCTCTCCCCTCTCTTCTCTCCCCCCCCCCGTCTCTCCCGCCACTCAGCACCTTAGCAAGACTTGTTGAAGGGAAGACATATAATTGAGCAGTATATGTCAAGGCCAGATGAAAATTGCTGTGAACTATGTTATCTCACTAAGCTATCCCCCCTACCTACTCCTCTCCGCCTATTCTCTTCTTTCCTTTCCTTCTTTATCCCCCTCTCATTTTTTGATCACATCATCCCTTCCTCTCCTATTTCTCCATTATCCTCCCTCCTATTTTTGTTCCTCTCCTCTTTCCCCTTTATCATTATGTTTGCCCATCAACTCTTGCGTGTGCTCCTCCTCCTCTGCCTCTCTAATCTTCCTTTCTTCCTCTTCAATCCCTCCTTTTCCTTTCTCAATTACAGCTTCCCCTTAATCACCTTTCTGCGTAACCATCTCTTTATTCATTCCTCTCACCTTCTTCCCTTTCATCCCAATTATCCACTTTCTATGTTCTTCCTATCCTTTCCGTCTCTCTTATTTCCCGTCCTACATTTATCCCCCCCATCCTTTGTTATTGTTTACATCAATGGCAGTGGGATGGGAGTCGCCATCACAGGCGCCTGGCGATCCTGCGTCTGGCGAACGTTTGCTGGACGAATCGTTGCTGGAGCTGCGCCATGCATGCTGGATATTTGATATTTTTCTCACTTCACGCGAGGGTTAGTGGACCCGAAGGCTGTGGTGAAAGGGAGTTGATTCTCTGTCTCTCTGTCTCTATCTCTCTCTCTGTCTCTCTCTCCCTCTTCTCTCTGTCTCTCTCTCTCTCTCTCTCTGTCTCTCTCTCTCTCTCTCTCTCTCTCTCTCTCTCTATCTCTCTCTCTCTCTCTCTCTCTTCTCTCTCTCTCTCTGTGTCTCTCTCTCTGTGTCTCTCTCTCTCTGTCTCTCTCTCTCTGTGTCTCTCTCTGTCTCTCTCTCTCTGTCTCTCCCCCTCTGTCTCTCCCCCTCTCTCTCCCTGACAACATAAGTATTAGCCATATCAACAAAATGTCTGACAAACCATTTTCCTCGACAAACGAAGAGGAGGGCTTTGGAATGGCCATTGGTACCCACGTGAACCAAAGTCAGAGGGTAGCAAGGTGTTGGACTTTAAAACTGGAAACTTTGTAGAATTGAATCAGAGTCGATGATTGATAAAGATTAGGCCACCACAAGAGGTGACACGGGCATGAGTACCACATCATGCCCGTGTAGTAGGTGGTAGATATTTGGAGTGAATGTGGTCGTGTAACATCTCCAAGTGTCTGGTTCTGCGGAGCCGGAGCCCATCCTGACCATGCTATATAACGCGGTAGTCAGATGCAGCATCTGGGATGCTTAATACCGTTCTTGGAATGGTCAGTACCGTTCTATAAAACTCTTTGAAATTTCTTACGTCACTCATAATTTCATTTCATCGTTGGGCATTACATCTTGCCTAGCTTTAGGGTCCTGTTGGATTGATAATTTCCAATGGTAATTACCTAGGTCTTGTTTGCTTTCAGGGTAGTGTCAACGGTTGTCATATGCTGCCTGTCATTCAGCATAGCTTATATTGTCAGCACAAAGGTCACCTTCCATCATCTGCCCCAGGCGGGTATAGATGAAGTGTTGTGATGAATCATCCTCGTGGATTCCAGTGCATCGCCCATCTTGTTAACGGGGAAGGTTCGCGTGCAGTCATCAGCGTATGCGTGAGCTTGAGAGATGAGATGTAGAGAGTTGTTGAAGTGAACATATTTCAAACCACCGGGAAATCTCTCATTACTTTGGTATTATGCAGTGTATTGAGTTGCCTCTAGGCTCTGATGCAGCCTTACATGTTACCTCAAGAATTGCATTCTTCCTTATACCCCTTTTCCTCAGCACCCCATCACTCCCCACCCCTTTCCTCCCTTCCCCCACCTCTCCACCCCTCGGCTCCTCGCCCTTCCCCACCCCTTTCCTTCCAGCCATCGCTCCCCTCCCCCTCCCGGGGCCAGTAGCCTGGGAAGGTGGCCATAAGGGAACAATGGGCGTCATCCTCAGCCGCAGGTCTTCTGAGTTATGGCACCATATGGCCCTCAGTGCACGGAGCTGGCACTCCCTCCCCCCACCCTGGGGCACTGCCTCCACCCCTGGGGCACTACCTCCACCCCTGGGGCACTGCCTCCACCCCTGGGGCACTGCCTCCACCCCTGGGGCACTGCCTTCACCCTGGGGCACTACTCCACCCCCTGGGGCACTGCCTCCACCCACCTGGGGCACTGCCTCCACCCCTGGGGCACTGCCTTCACCCCTGGGGCACTACCTCCACCCCTGGGGCACTACCTCCACCCCTGGGGCACTGCCTCCACCCCTGGGGCACTGCCTCCACCCCTGGGGCACTGCCTCCACCCCTGGGGCACTGCCTTCACCCCTGGGGCACTACCTCCACCCCTGGGGCACTACCTCCACCCCTGGGGCACTACCTCCACCCCTGGGGCACTGCTTTCACCCCTGGGGCACTACCCAACTGCTCACGCCTCTACTCATATTGTACTCTGACACTGCCCTCCCACAGTACATTTCCTACTCATTATCTCACTCTCGACACTCAATTTTTATCCCAATTGTTGGGGTAATCTTCCCTATCACTTCCTAATCATGCGACCTCAATAAAGTAAGTCTGTGGTAGAAAAATAGTAAAAAATAACTAACTAATCCTTCCAACCCTTTCTATGCCTCCATATTTTTCTCCCTTTCCAATTTCTTCACATATTTTATATTCATTTTCTGTCTCATTTCTTCTTCAACATACCTTTACTCATACCTCATTTTCCCAACTCACTTTTTCATCGACTTTCCTCACACTTTCTTCTTTTGACCCGCTCTCATGCTTCCTCATCACTCTCCCACTCGGTATCACACATGACATACACTTTCCCCATTCCATCCCCTACATTCCCTTAACACTGTCTCCCACACACTCCCTCTTAAACAATCCCTTTCACATTCTCTCCTCACCTCTACTCTCACATTTCTTGTACTAACTCCCTAAATCATTTAAACATTGCTCCGTTCTCTCATTTCTTCGTTCCCCTCCAAAAATCACTAACTAATCTCTACGACACTCCTTTCATTCCCTCCAGATCCCCCCCCCCCTCTCACTTCCTCTTTCGCTCTCCCAAAACATTTCCTCTCCGCGCCTCCCTGCTTCCCCCCCCCCCCCCACTCAGGACGCACCCATGCTCTCCTCCACATCAGAATCTGTCGCTTTTTCACGGTTACTCTCCTGCAAACACTCGCCAATTTTATTTTCCCTCTTGTGTCCTATCAGAGAGTCGCCTACTGGGTTGTTTTGGCGTGCGTGTATCTCGGGTTTGGGGGGGTTGGGGAAAGGATTTGTGTGGGTATTTGTGGATACGGTTGAAATGGGGGTTATGGATGTGGATATTTGTGGGTGTGGGTAGAATAGAGGATATGGATATGGATATTTGTAAGTATGAATGAAATGGTGGTTACATATGTGGATATTTATTGGTACAGGTGGGATGGAGGATGTGTATGTGGGTATAGTAAATGTGACAGTAAGGGAAAAAATATGGATATTTGTAAAGCCGAATAGGATGCATATGTGGATATATAGGCCTGTATAAGTGTGTTAATACCCAAGTGGGTTCTTGATACATTTATAAACCTGTATGGATACATATGTTCGACACACATTCCAAAACAGCCCAATTGATGGCTGAGATGAGAGAAAAAATTGCGAGTTTTATTTGTAGGTGATGTAAGTTTATAAGGGACTTCACCATTGAGATCATAATATTCTCACACACTATATATAGACTTGACTCTTTTGAATATGTAGTAATGTTTTAAGCCTGTCCAAAAATGAAATCATACGGTCTTATTGTGCCTTATTAACAAATAATATAGGCTCGGATAACCGTACGAGTGTTCTCCCGGACAGGCCCCCACAGGGACTTAAGTGATGGAACACTTGAGGTCACTTTCTTGTCACAAGCGATTCTAAAATCTCATGATAGTTTATTTCAATGTTACAATCAATGTTACTTCCTTCTTCCTTAATATCTGAAATGTAGCAAAGCGTTTGATTGCAAGATGTCAGAAGGCCTCTTTAGAATGTTGTATGTTCAGGATGATCCTTCTAATTCACTGACATGGATACCTGGTATATCCTAAGAGATTTGGGGTTGGAACTGATCCATTTGCTCATGAAGTCATTTCTGGCACCATGAACAATGTGTCGACACGTACATTATTGGCTCTGGCACATTATTCTACATATTTAAAAAAAAGAAAAACAATTCGGTCACATGACTACTT